ACCAGGACCAGGGCTTAATTTGAGCTGGATCCTGCTAGAATAGGATCTGGGAACGCTCTTATTTTGACAGGGAGCATTATGGTAGCTGTTTGCCAGTAACTCTCAGGCCTACTACCTAATAAAGTTATGGACAAATATGACTGCCTTGAACGGATACAACTTATTTTTGATATGTAAACTGAAAATAATTACATAAACACTCATTTTAAACATCACAGCCACTTACGTAGCATTTCCGCTTCTACTCTTAAAAAAGTCTCTATCCCTAAATGAGTGTTGGGGGTGAGTGCCGAGCTAACCAGGCAGTTGTACGCAGGCAGGAGACCACAGGCAGCCGCGATGAAGAGACGGAGGAGGCACCTGGAGGTTTCACATGTGGAGGAAGACAACAACGAGGATGACAGTGAGTTCAGTGAAGAGCCAAGCTCAGAACTGTCAAGTAAGGGGGGTAGGATGCTTGACAGAAGCAGTGTTTACAAATGTAGGTAAACATGGATGTTTAACAACCCGTTAAAATACACCAAAATGCAGGAAATTTCATCTACTTTATTCAAACTTTCCTGGGGGAGGACCCCCTGCCTTCAAACCCCCCCCACCACCACCACCACCACTGGCCTACTCGCTATTTGCATTCCGGCATCGATCAGTTTACAAATTAAGCCCTGACTAGGACTGGACACCTCTGCATTCGACAGCATTATCAGCACTTGATAGGAGTTTGATAGGTGTTGCATTGTGGGTTTGCGTGAGGCCCTGGTAGTTTATTGTGATTTACTCTTTTTTTAGCAGGCGTACAGTGGCCCAATATTGGCCCACTATGGGAGTGGTAGCACAAAGGTTAGAAAAGGTGGGCCTGTGATCGGAAGGTCACCGGCTCAACTCCCCAGACTGACAACGTTAAAATGTGGGTGGGAAAGGTGAAACATTTACACCTGTCTCCACCCTCATTGGCCCCACTCTGGGCCCTTGAGCAAGGCCCTTAATCCCCACCATCTGCTTCCCCGGGTGCCCTAGATGGCAGCTCTCTGCTCCACAAAGAGGGCTGTGGTAGCTCTGTGGTTGTGGTTGTGTCAGGAAGGGAATCGGGCATAAAAACAATTGCCAAGTCTTCATGTGAGTTAGTTCGCTGTGGTGAATCCTGAGAGAAGGAGCAGCTGAAAGTAGGAAAATATAAAACAGTGACCCGATGTTGGAGCCAACTGGTACCTGAAGGCACCCGCTCATACTGTAAGGGTTCTTGCTACTCAAGACAGGCCACAGAGGGGAGGATCGTGTTATGCACCAAGCACTACAGAACCCAACACCTTCTACTGGACACAGGTATTGGACTCATTACCACACATTGTATTATTCTGCTCCTTCTCTCAATGACTCACATCAGCTGTACTATGAGCTCACCATCCAGGCTGTCGCTTACACAAGAGCAAAGACAAATGCATTTGGCGTTGTGCTGTAACCTGGTGTCAAAGACTGGTGACAAGTGGTGTCATACCATGTTCATGGTTCTGAATTACCACATATGGCAGACCTGAGTGAAAAGGATGACAATGTTGCAGAGAGAAACACTGGTGTTACTCCTGGCATCATGGTGGGTGGAGCCATGGTGTATGATTTCAAGTCACCTCTGGTAGTGATGTGGAGCGCCCTGTTGATGCTGCTATATCATTGTCATCTTGGGTGCATGTCTTACCCCTCCTAACACAAAACCATGATACAGTCTTTCATTAAGACACCTGTCCAAACATGGCATGTGTGTCTATGTCTGTGTCTCATTCCAGTTGAGGTCCTGCCATTGTTAGCCAAGTCCCCCAATCTCCTCCATTCAAAAGTGTGGAATTTTCTTGTCAACTCTAACTCAGTCTGCAGGATCTCACCGACATGTTGCAACAGCTGCAAGCTGATGCTCTGCAGGAGGGGATATAACAGCTGTATGACTCTGTTTCACACTTAACTACTGCTTGTATCCAAGCCTGAGTGTGTGTCACACCCTACTGACATGGAACCAGCAGTGTGTTCATATTGCCAACCTCTTCTTTCCTTTCATTTCTACCGCTACATCTAGGTGCTTAACATTTTTGTCAAGTGAATGTAATTACATTAGATTGCTCAGCTCAACAGTTAGAGGTGGAATTAAAAATACCACTTGTATTTTTTTAAGAGCCCCATGTTTAGCAATTATTTGTTCCAAAGTACATGTAGGGAGTCCATTTAAGATGAACCTCATCATAGTTTCATGTTTGAAGAGTCCACGTTGTTTCCAGATTGTGTTGTTCCATTTGAAATGGACACTAGAGGCACAATGATGTTCCAGAGTGGCTTATCTCTGTTTGGGGTCAGAACGGTTGTCCAGCAAGGCCTGAGAAGAGAAGAAACAGATCCATCATGGCCGATATGTTTTGATCACATCCTTGATGGGCCTCCTGCATATGGGGCAGCATGCATTGATCTGTCTCTTGAGCTTCAGCCCACAGTCGTTGCACAGGCACATGTGTCCACAAGTGTAGATGACTGTGTCCACCTCTTGATCGAAGCAGATGGTGCACTCTCCGCTTTTGCCAGCAGGGGGCAGCTCGGAGACAGGAAGCAAGGGAGAGATGGGGGGGATCAGCGGGGAGCTGGGAGCAGTCACTAGAGGAGAAGCAAGAAAACAAACGAAAGGGTTTTTACAGTGGTGCAGACTCATATTGGCATGCATGAAATTTGTTGTTTTGTTACTGCGGGAGGATTAGTTCATGTTTACATCAGCACTACTATTCACAAATGGAAGTTAACCAGAAAAAAAAAAATGGGGAGTCGTTGCTGCCACATCTAAAACAGAACTGCTCGGCATTTCCACTGTAATCTCATGTTTAGGTAATATCAGGTTTAAATCTCAGGTTTGTAATCTCAGTTTTAAATATAGAGTGGCTTAGGTTTGCTGTCAATGTTTGGCAACTTACCCAGAGAGGATTCAGAGGCAGAGGAGGATCTGGTGACGCTGAACGCCAGGTCTGAGTCACTGTCATCTGGGCTGCTGCTCTGAGAAGCTGTGGGGGATGTGCAGGGAGGACCGGACTGCAGTGTTCCTGTGTGACAAACAAAACCACACACTTCAACAGCTTCTAGACAATTAAAACTCTTTGATAAAAGGAGAGATTTAGAAAGAGGAAATATTGAATTGTCAGCTGACTGCAAGCAAAGCAATAATCATGTCAGATTATTTTGTATTCAGTTGATTTATTTAACATCAAATCACAAAAACTGCCATCTCAAATCATGATACACGACAGATTTACATTCAATTAATCTTAGCTTAAGACAGTCACAGCCATTTTTTTTTCCAAACCTTGAAAATCAAGTTATGATGTCATGCATTGTTGCATGATGTGTTCGCTCTCAGAGTATGTGTTGTGAATGACTCTCAGCTACTACCACACCAAACGTTATCTGTACAACTTTGTTATAGCTCTTTCTGTTTTGACTGTCCTAGTATGTGTCTGTTTTATTCCTTGTGTTCATCCTTTCGTTTTACTCCATTTGTGGTTTGTGTTGTATTTTCCTGTCTTTTGAGTTCCTCGTGTTTTTCCGGTCGTCGGTTCAATCTTCCCCAGTATTTTTCCCCTCCTGTAGTCAGCTCCTGCTCCTCCCACTCTCACCTGATCCTCATTGTCACCCCAGGTGTTTGTCATTTCTCCCTCGTTAGTGTCCTGTTTATTTCCCTGTCCTGTCATTAGGCAGTATAAACCGTCCATATTTTGTTCCTCTATGTGTTCCTGAGTTTATCATTCCTGTGAGTACTGCTGCCACGGCAGCCTTTGTTTTCTGTTTTTTATAAATGAATTACCCTATTTTTTGGCCTATAAGTTGCAGTTTTTTGCATAATTTGCATGCCCTGCGAATATGAATTTTCAGCCGCTAGATGGTACTCGAGTAGCATGGCCTGCCATTGTGACATGTAATACGTAAAAGTGGCTATTAATGACATAATCGGCTTGCCAAAGCCGGCCACCTTCGTCCAGCTCGCCTGGAGCAACCGTCAAATCAGCTTCATTTCGCTGCAACGCTCCGGTGAAATGCAGCTAATTTGACCTTTGACGTGCATTTATTAAGGAAAAGCTAGACTGAGACACACCTTTGCTATAAAGTTCAGCAAACAAATTATTGTTTTTAGGTGGTTATCTTATTAAATTTTGAAGAAATGCACAGCGAGTCTTCCCATGCATGCTCCCGTGGCTGCGAATCGGCTTTTGAAATGCCGTTGATTTGACCGTCAAAGTCCTTTTATTAAGGAAAAGTTAAACTGGGACACAACTTTGATGTCGAGCAAAGAAATAATTGTTTTTAAATGTTAATCTTGTTAAATTATTGTTAAAGTCCTCTTGTGCACACTCCTGCAACCGCCATTTGGCAATCAATTGATTTTTTGGCACAACACCGGTCCACATTTCCAGGTTGTCAGCGGTGATGCGTAACCAATGTGGCGCGTCAGCGGTGACACATGTGACTTATACGGCGAAGCGACATATTTATGGATTTTTCCACTTTATTAGACATATTTGGACTGATGCGACTTATAGGGCGGAGTGCCGTGTATGGCAGAAAATACGGTAATTTTTGTTGTATTTCACCTTCAAGTCCTTGAGTTTGTCTGTGCCTTGTGTTCTACTCCACACAAAAACATGATATTAACTAATATCAATTAGCTGGAGAAGCCATATTGAATCAGGTTGATTCCACATAGTAATCAGAGGTAGGTGTACAACAAATTGATACTTTCTGAGAGTTTCATTCAAATCTGTCTACTGGGTCATGAGATATTTTGCTAACGGACAGAAGAATGCACACATGCATATGGGCAAAAACATTTTAACCTGACTTTAATAAGAACAATAGCTCCAATTCAAATCCATTTACCAAACATCTAATTAAACCAAGTTCTTTACAGTAGTCCTTTATCGCAGGGGTTCCATTCTCAGCCCACACCCCTGCCCCCCAGCAATAAGTGAAAAACCGCAAAGTTGGAATAGTAGTACAAGTAGTAGTAAGTACTAGTAAGTAGTAGTGCAGCTCATCCATCAATCAGCCAATTGTGAGTCATGTCCAATCTTACTTTGAAAAACCGTGAAAGAGCGAGTCCATGAAAGTCGAACTGCAAAGAATCGAGGGACTACTGTACAGCACAATCTAAATGCTTTTTAATTCTATAGAGCAGGGGTGGCCAATTATTTTTTCCATGGGGCCACATGAGAAACAGAAAATATTGTGGAGGGCCGGCCAAAAGGCTGATCTCAATTCTGCATAATATTAACTCTATTTCTTTATAAAAAGCTGTAAATAGCATTGTTTTGACAAGCTGGTAAGAGTATATGTTATAATTAAGCAATGAAAACATGAGGTTGCCTTCCAAAAAAATGTAATTTATTCAAGCGAATTTCCCAAACAATGGGAATGGCAATAAATCCCTAAAACAACATCATAAAAACACACAACATGTGCAAATAAAAATAACCACAATACAATTAAAATCATGCACAACTCAACCATCAAAACATCATTTAAAACTTCTTACATTTTTAAGTTGTATTTTCTTGTTCAGTGAGAGAAATCTAGTCTCTCCTGGGCTTTAACGAGTGCATCAAAATCAGGTTGAATGTCTGAGGTGGAGATGCGAAGCACAGCTGACAGATGATCATCAGTGAGAGATGATCTGTACCTGGATTTCGTGAACTTCATCATTGAAAATGTTTGTTCACATATGTAGGTAGAGCCAAAGAGAACCAACATCTTCTGAGCATGTCTCTTCATGTTTGGAAAGTTCTCCTCTTTGAGAGAAGAGTAGAAATCCAGTAGGGATCCTGATTTAAAGAGCTCTGCCAGTACTGCATCAGACTGCAGATCAATGAGTTCCAGCTGAACATCACTGGGTGCATTATCCACACTGCAGGTAAAGGGAGAGGAAATCATGTGCATTTCATCCTCGATTGTTCTGAGATCTTCAAATCTCCTTGAAAACTCACAATGCAATGCTCCTAACATGGATGAGTACCTGCGGAGGTGATCGGCTGATGGTGTGACTTCTTTCAGGGTTTGCATGTGAGTGAGATTGTTGCTCTCCAGTTGGCTTGAAAGAAACAGCATCTTTTTCATGAAAGCCTTCACCAGGGTGTGCATTTCATGAACAAAAAGGCCCCTGCCTTGCAGTTTGGTGTTCAGGTCATTCATCAGTGCAGTCACATCAACAGCAAATGCAAAATCTGCCATCCAGTCCTCATCTGAGAGCTCTGGGATGTCTTTGCCTTTCATCTCACAAAACTCTTTAATCTCTGTTTTCAGGTCCCAAACTCTTTTTAGCACTTTGCCCAGGCTGAGCCATCTGACAGGTGTGTGGTAGCCGATGTCACTATGCTCAGACTCATGATCCTCCAAAAGTGCGACAAACTGTCTGTGATTCAATGCCCGTGCCCTGATGAAGTTTACTATGTTAGTAACAACATTAATAACATGGTTAATTTTTAGCACTGACTTGCACAACACATGTTGGTGTATAATACAATGCAAAAATACCAATTCCTGATCTGAGTCGATTTCAGACACTTTATCTTGCATACGTTTTAAAAGTCCCACATTTTTCCCTGTAAGATTTGGACAACCGTCCGTTGTGACACCTGCCAGTCTGTCCCATTTCAGTCCCAGTGTGTCCATGCACGCATTCACCTCCATGAAGAGATCGCCCCCTGTAGTCGTCCCTTTCATCGACCACGTTGCTGCCAGCTCCTCCGTAATCTTGAAGTCCGGAGTGATCCCGCGGACAAATATGAGTAACTGGGCTGTGTCACGGACATCACAGCTTTCGTCCAAAACCAAGGAGAAAAAGTCAAAACTTGCCACTTCACGTTGCAGCTGAAGCTCCAGATTCCACGATATGTCCTCCACCCTTCTCGTCACGGTTCGCCTGGAGAGCGGGACTTTCTCAAATGCTTCTTTTTTTCAGGGCATATTAAAGCTGCGGAATCCACCAAGCACTCTTTGATAAACTCCCCCTCCGAGAATGGCTTACTGTTTTTAGCGATTTTGTGAGCTATCACAAAGCTGGTCTTGGTTGCTGCATCCCTGGATGTGTGAAGCTTGGTAAAAAAGCCTTGCTGCTTTTGCAGTTTAGCTAGCAAAGCTTCCGATGTCCGCGCCTTTTCAGCGTCAGTCATGTTCTTGTATTTCTCCCCGTGTTTTGTCTCGTAATGCCGACTCAAATTGTAGTCCTTAAACACGGCGATCTGCTCCCCGCAAACTAAACACATGGCTTTACCCCTGACTTCAGTAAATAAATACTTAGCAGTCCAATTTTTGTTGAAAACCCTGCATTCTTCATCTACCTTTCTTTTTTTAGCATAAGCAGACATTTCTGAGGGCTGAAGTCGTCTTGTGACTTGCTAGTGACAACGATCAAATCACGCGCATGTCTCAATATACGCTTTGCGTCATCATGTACGTAAATAAAAAAAAACTTCAAAATAAAAGCATTGCAGCTTCAGTCCATGCATCAGGTAAAATAAGAAAATATGTTTATTTTGTAATTTCCAATTAACGTTGCACGGGCCGGTCAGAGTCAATCAAAGGGCCGCATGCGGCCCGGGGGCCGTACAATGCCCAGGTTTGCTATAGAGTAAGATTCAGATTCTAATCCAGTAATCCATAGTTCAGTTTATTCCAACTGTTCAAAAAGAATTTGCTACAAAATTCAGTGGCAATGAGTAAAAATGTTTACGTGTTTTTTCAGAACGGAGATTTCTCGGTTTTTTGTTGGTTTCAGATGAGAGTGTTGTTGTATTATAAATAGTACCAGAGCTGATGTTTAAATTTATGAGGGAGTTGTAGGACTGGGACAGAGGTCAGAGGTCATTGCTAAGCAGATTCTTAAAAAAGAAAATGACTGCTCAGATACAGAAAATCCCCCCACTCTGAAGGGGAGGGGGTGGGGGGAGTGTCAAAACAAATACATATCCAGTTTTCTTCTTGTCAAGAAACTAATTATTACCACGAAAAGGCAAAAGGTGGGCAATAATGTAACTGTCTGTGTGTTTGTCTGTTTAAACTCTGGCATAAAAGGTAGCTGCCCATCTGCATGCTCTCAAAGAATGCTGGGTCATTAAATTGCTTTGAGGACCTGAGCTGATTATGATTGATGCAACTTGTATCCTGTTTACTAACCATTCTGCAGCCAACAGCTGTTTATTTGCAAGAGATTCAGCACAGATTTAATCTTACATTTCTTTGAGACTGCCAGATTAACAGTGAACAGCTACAACAAACAAGGCTGAGGCAGCATCCATCCTTTCCTTAGTTCTTGAATTCTTGTTCTTAGCTAAACAATCCAACATTACCCATAATGCAATCTAAATAGGGATGCACAATATTATCGGCATAGTATCGGTATCGGCCAATATTAGCGATAAAGTTAAATATTCAACATTCCATCAAAATAATTCACCGATATAAAAGACTTCTGTTTTAAGCTAATTTTTAATTTAAGAAATTGTCAAGTATATCTATTAATGCACTACTACTTATGCACTTTTCACACGTCACTTATTAGGTTGAGTTTAGATTTGTGAAAAATTACAAATTTGCACTGTTCAAGTGTTGTCATTGTGTTAGAGAGAGTAAATGTCATGAATAAATTTGACATTAAACATAATCCAAGTTGAAGTGTTATATCACTTTCAGCCCCTTTTTTGGCATCTGCATTTGGTAGCAGACCAAACTGACAAAGACCATGCAGAATAATGTAGTATTTTAATTCCACAGCAGGGAAATCTATGTAGTCTCTGTAAGTAGGTCTAGGGGAAAAAATATCGGTATTGGTACCGATTATCGGCCAAATAAGTTTTACCATATCAGCATATCGGATATCAGCCAAAAATCCAATATTGTGCATCCCTAAATCTAAACATTTATGAGCTAAAACCATTGTGTTCTGAAATGATGGCCGAAGCTGGTTCCACAACATCTCTGGCTCTGATAGACTTGGATCACGGTTGAATATTTACGACGCTTCCTCCTATTGTCCATTCCTAACTTCCTTTTCTTGGCCTTGTTGGTAAACGTCATTAGATTCTTGTAGAATTATTGTTTTCAAGTCAGTCCACGTGTTGCAAGGCGTAAGCAGGCCTTGTAAAACAACACCTTTAATATATAAAGCATATTTGTCCAATTGGTTTTCAAGGATGAAACTTCAGACTCAAAAACTCTGGTGCGAGGCTGTAAATAAGGAACCAACGATGCATTACGGTTCACAGCACAACAAACAGTGGACACTTTATTTTCTGCTGGTTGAGATGCAGCACAATATAAAACATAAAGGATTAATCTTGTAGCATTGAAGCTCCACACTCTTGTTGTTTTTGCCTCATTTGAGTCAAACACACAGTCAAAACGTTCTCTAATATCTTTTACAGTCCCCAAATATTTTTCTAAATGATGAAAATCTAATGACAAGTAAATGGAGATGTATCTCAAGCATTGTTACTCTGTGCTCACTTACCGAGTATCCTGAGTCTGTTTATGACGCCGTGCAAGGTGAAGAAAGCCCACAAGACCTGAGAGGAGTCCACGCAGAGCAGCCGCCCCCGCCCAGCTCCGTTCACCCCATGGTGCACTTCTCCACTGGGCAACAAGCTGAAGCTGAGAACGTCTCCAGAACAGGGCATGGGGAAGCCTCGGTGCACCACCCAATACTCTTTTCGGTCCAGGAGAACTTCAGGGTCAGCCGGCAGGTCTGCAGCGTGCAGACAAGCCGGGTCACAGGACGTCAAACCGAATGACAGCGCCCCGAAGTAAGGTAGGCCTAGGTGGCCCACCTCCAGGTACAAAGTCTCCCCCACGTGCAGCGGCCGGTCGCTGAACACCAGTGTCCGACTGCTGTCCAGAAAGTGGATACAGGCAGCCAAGCGGTCGGCTGAGAGAATCACATCAGAGCCACTGATGGGGTGAAAGTGCAAGTCATTGTCCAGCAGGGAGGGCAGGCCCCGGACCACCCGGGGGCCTGGGGTGGAGACAGTGGAGGAGGATGGGGGGGAGGAAGAGCAGCAGGGGATGAGCTGAGAGTAGCTGCTGAGCTGCAGGTTGGCCATCTTGGCAACAGCAGCCTGGTTGTTCTCCAGCTGATTGTTGCTGAAATTGGCGGAGTCGTGGCTGCTCTGGGGCAGGTAGGCACTCAGACGGGCCGCGCTTAGACAGCTGGAGCCCACGCTCTCAGCAAACGTGCTGTCTGTGTGCAAAAACAAGGACAGCATTTTAGCATGGCAGCACATAAAATATTCCAAATATTTATTTTTTTTCCTGCTTGTTGTATATGTTTCACATTTTAAAGGATGCCAAAGCAGCTAAATGGTAAATGGACTGTACTTATATATCATCTTTCTATCTTATCAAGATAAAGTGTTTTACACTACAATCTGTGCCCTCATTTACCCATTCATACAACACTCTACTAGATCTATTCACAGATTAATCAGAGCTTTATCACATTCATACATCGATGGAACACACATCGGAGGCAATGAGGAGTTCATTGTCTTGCCCAGGGACACTTCAGCATGTGACTGCTGGTGGAATTGAACCCCCAACTCTCTCATTTTAGGATGACTGCTCTAACAACTCAGCCACAGCTGCCACAGCTACTGACCAAAATTTCAAGGTCAAGGCTCTTTATTGTCATACACACCACATGTGGTACATGAGGTGGAACAAAATTGTGTCACAGGGTCCCAGCTACATCCAACAATAGCAATACAATAGGGGAGTGGTGGCGCAGAGGTTAGGACCTGTGACCGGAAAGTCGCAAGTTCAACTCCCTGTTCCTGCAACATCAAAATGTGGGTGGAAAAGGTGAAACACCCACACCTGCCTCCACCCTCATTTTCCCCAATATGGGCCCTTGAGCAAGGCCCTTAACCCCCACCTTCTGCTCCCAAAAACAGGTCTCTCTTGAAAATTAGTTCTCATGAGTCAATGAGACTACCTGTGTAAATAAATGGTAAATTTAAAAATAAATAAATTTTAAAAGAAATAGTACCGTATTTTTCGGATTACAAGGCGCACATAAATCCTTTAATTTTGTCAAAAATCGACAGTGAACCTTACAATCCAGTGCACCTCATGTATTAATTTTGGTTGTGCTTACTGACATCGAACCGATTAAATGTTGTACACGGCACTCAAAAATCTGTCAAAATGAACTTGTTTTGCTTAACGTGCCTTATAATCAGGTGCACCATATAGTCCGAAAAATATGGTATATAAGGATCTAAGATATAAACTAAGAAATACGCTAAACATTTAATAGTGCAAAATAATATGCTGAACAACAACAGCACGAACATGAGTATGTGTGAGTAATGAGTACGAATGAATACAGCAGCATGAAATAAATCAGCAGCAAAGTTTCAATATTAATTTTATGATAACCTAATCTAAGCTACAAAAGCCAACATTTTGTTGTATATTCTGTGTAAAATGTCTTAAAAAAAAAACAAGAAAAAGCTGTAACAACACATGTATCTCTCAATCCCTGACTGTTAAATTAATGAGGCCAACAAAGAATACAGACTGAAAAGTAAGCTTTAAAAACAAACAGTTGCTTTAGAAAACTGTAAATTCAATTTTTAAATTATAGAACCGTGAGCATCACATGACACTGATGGTCATACATGTGAATTTTTACGTTTCTATGGTGTTTTACGTTATGACAAAGTAAAAAAGACCCTTCACTTCTGGTTTTGATGATAACTTTTAGGTTAAATTACATTTTTATGACACTTTTTGGAGAGCTGGATCCTACACTTCAAGACTAATCATCAAACATTTGTTAATTTCACATGGGACTACAGCAATACATGCCACAGACCCTTGTTTGCAGATGACATTGTGATCTGTGGTGAGAACATGGAACAGGTGGAAGAGAACTCGGAGAGGTGGAGGTATGCACTTGAAAGAAGAGGAATGAAATTCAGCCATAGTAAGACAGAGTACATGTGTGTGAATGAAAGGGAGGCTGGTGGAACAGTGAGGCTACAAGGAGCAGAGGTCACAAAGGTGCAGGACTTCAAGTATTTCGGGTCAGCTGTCCAAGAAATTGAGGATTGTGGTAAAGAGGTGAAAAAGAGAGTCCAGGCAGGATGGAGTGGATGAAGAAAAGTTTCAGGAGTGATCTATGACAAAAGGGTGGCATAACAAGGTTTACAAGAGTAGTGAGACCAGCTATGTTGTGTGGTTTGGAGACAATGACTGACAAAAGACAGGAGACAGAACTTAGAAGTGGCAGAGCTGAAGATATTGAGGTTCTCCTTGAGTGTGACAAGGATGGATAAGATTAAGAATGAGATCATCAGAGGTACAGCACAGGTTGAATAACTGGGAGATAAAGTTAGAGAACCCAGACTGAGATGGTTTGGACATGTCCAGAGGAGGGACAGTGGGTATGTTAGTAGAATGGTGTTAGAAATACAGCAAAAAAACAAAGAGGAGATATATGGATGCAGCTAGAGAGGACATGGAGGTAGATGGAATGAGGACAGAGTGAGATGGAGGAGGATTACTCGCTGTGGCGGACCTGAAAAGGGAAAAGCCAAAAAAAAAATAGGAGGAAGAGGAAAAGACCTTTGTATATCACTCTTATTGTGGTGTTTGTGGTGAATTCAAATAAACCTTTCATTTTAAGGACAAATACGCATTGTGAGCCAGAGGTTTACAGATCTTTATCACGTTATTTAACCAGCTAAGACAAATTTTATAAACTGCACACATTCAGAGTTTGCACCACAGTGCCGTTTCTTTGGAGACTAAAATAAACAAGTCTGGCACTAGTGGTCCCCCTTTTGACTTATGATCCATTCCTTTACCACCATTTCTAGAGATGCTGGAACAGTTGAGTGTGTTGGCCCCTCACTAAAACTCCTGGGATCAGCCTCCCTGACCAAACATGGCTTTGCAGCTGCTGTCAGACAGAGGATAAACACATGTAATACATGAGAGAGGGTGATGGGATTGAATTCAGAGCGAAGGTAGAAAGTTGCAAAATGAAAGATAAAGATAGAAAGAGAGCGCTAAAAGAAGAGTGGTAGGAAAGGATCAGGGTGAACAGATTGTTTGACATATGCTATTAATTTCCGATCATCAAGTCAGCCAATCTGAGGTAAAAAAGTTTCTGTTTACACCGACTGGTTTCGACACAGAGACTGTTCATCATCGAGCCATCCCAGACAGCATTCCCTCCAAAATGGTCTTTAGTGCTGCTTGCTTTAGTTCAGATATTATTACCATTATAAGAATATGTATCTGGAGTTTGTCAGACATATGTTCTGAACACAAAAGGCCGCAGACTTAAACCAACAAGAAAAATATCTTTTTTTTTACACAGTTAAACACGAGGTAGCTGCTTGCACTGCTTGGCTGCGGTCCAAACGAAATAGAAACAATGTATTTACAGCTGAATAATTTCCTCACCGAGTAGAGAGACCTCCTGAGTGATACCATAGATATCTATGATGGCCCAGAGTGGACAGCTGATACTGAGCCCACAGTGGAAGAGGATGGGCTCTCCATCATTGATGCTGTAGAAAACTCTTCCGTGGCGGTCGGCCCAGAATGATAACACGTTATCCTTGGAGGCCAGCCTCTCGGGCAGAGCCTTGGCCCAGTAGCCGGGCCGTGTCACCAGGTCTGGACATGCATACTTGGGGATGTCAGCAGTCACCAGTTCACTGGGATCCAAACTGGTAAACCCAAAGCGCAGAGCTCCACTCCAGCCAGTGTGAACGCCACTCAAGCGCAGTCGCACCTGAATAAACAATATCAACATAACCTTGAAGGGATCGTTCAGATATTTTGAAACATCTTACCTACTGTAGATAGCTCTTTGGACAGCCTTAATCAATAGTTGTGTAATGAGAAATTATTACTGATATTTTTAGATTGAAGTTGTTTTAAGACAGCAAAACTTTTATTATGTCTAGGGCTAGCCATTACTTCATTGGTCCTGTCAGAATTAAACAATTTCTCCAAACTACAGGAAAGTGTTTCAACCAGCTATCTAGAAGTAAGTTAACAACTGTCATTTCTTTTCTATATAATCCCACTTCAAAAGAGATGAACTACCCCCATTAGCCTTTATTAGTCATATGAGTATCTCTTTAAATTAAAGATGAACGTAAAGAGATTAAATAAACCTTTTCGTAAAGGTGAACAGGCCGATGGGTGAAAGTGATTCCATTACAGAAGCTGTTCTTGCGAGTGGCTCGGCGAAGCTGTGCGTCCAGCCTAATGTTCTTGCCCTTTGCGTGCGGGTGAAAATGGGGTGACTCCGAGTTGATGCTGACTGGGGGAGCAGATGTTCTTCTTTCCACACCTGCCCCACTGTTCGGCAGGGTGTAGTACTGTCTGCTGGCCACCGGGCGGTGTTGTAGAGTCACATCTGTGGGCGGGGAAACATCCAGGAGGAGAAGTTCAAGAATTTTTATTATCCCCAAGGGGCAATTTGTTTCACAGTCAGTAAACAGCCATACTACACAAGACATTGAGACATAAAATAAGAAATCGTCACTGTACATTGAGAAGCCTGATCGCTACAGGGATGAATGAGTTTTTCAGTCTGTTCGTTCTACATCTGGGCTGCAGATACTTGCGTCCAAATGGATTCAACCTGAACTCACCATGGAGTGGGTGATCAGGATTTGCCAGAATCAGACTGGCCTTGTTCACTGACCTTGCCTTGCGTAGGTCAGTGGGGTAGAGCTATGCTATGAGAAGGGGTTAGAAAGAGGAAAATAGATCAATATTGACTCAACTAAGTGGGAGAGGACTAGGATTTTATATGAACAGTCTATGTCTGACATCAGCTGTGGGGAAAAAAAATCATCAGTTCACAATAGTTCCCTTGCAGGTGACCATTTTTAAATGGTGCCCCAAGTCTCATGCACCTCTCATTTCTTAAAAGTACCCTTGTTGCGGACTAAAACGCTCACTAGAATTCCAAAATAGTTAAACCTCTAAAATCAGACTTTTCACCACTTCCATATTTAAACCAAACTCTATTGCACCTTACCCAAAATTAGCCTTTTACCCATGCTAATATTAGTGCCAATGCACAGGAGAGAAAAAATAGTTTACAACAGACACGATAAGTCTCCATTGTATTTACACAGCACTGGCCTACAGCATAAACAACCCCTGAATAGCTCCAGTTATCTTGAAAAATGTGGAAATGAATCACACGGGACCTCGTCAGTTTCAAAACACCCCAATAAAAGACTTAATCTTCGTTCTCATCTTCACAGGAGGAGTCAGTGTCCTACTTAGGAGAAGAATCTCCTGATGCGGCAGTACAAAACAAGTGAAAGGTGAGCAGAATTCAAAGAGACGAACTGAACGCAGACTTGAATAAAATGTGTAGTGCTTGAGTTCCATACAGAATCTAATTAATGCAATAGATGAGTGTCAGAGGTACAGACTGGCTGGGATTCAAGACACAAAAAGGAGGCCGGCTCTGTGTTCTCCTCCAGGGCTACATAGTGATTACATTTCTGTTTAAAATTCACTGCGAGCCGCTGTAAAGACAATAACTCACTCAAATGGTCCACAGTACATTTCCTGGATAAGACATTACCACTGATTATATCCTAAACCATGAAGCAGAGAGCAAGAACATCTGTAACGTCTCAAATGATGTGCGGGTGCCTCTTCATACTTCTTCTTCAACCAGGACGTTTGGTTTTAGAGACATGTTGGAGTTAAACTTATTGTGACTGTAGATTTTACAATAAAATCCTGGCAACCTAAGCTGATGGTATTTTAAAGTCCATATGTTTTACTTTATTGAACCGTGTCATAGGTTTAGTTTTTATGGGGAAAACCCAGCAACAGCAGTTGTTTGTGCTTTACTGTAAATTAAGCATTTCTTACTGCACTCTATCATATTTAGTCATTGCAGTTTCAAGGATGAAGTTCTGGTAACCTCTGCTGCTGGTCAATCACTGTAAAGTTAAAGCTTCAAATAAAAGCCTAATCTATTTTACAATGTGCTCATTTTTGCTGAAGACTCTTATTAGATTCATAGAGTTTGTGATTTTTAAAGGCAGTTTACCATAAACCAATTACTGTATAGTGTACAGTATATACAGGTACAGTGTATTTTTTTAATAAACCTATCTTAAAAAAAGATTAGCTCTTGGTATTTCTTCATAAATTCACTGTTTGTTTGTTTTTTAATAGTTATATGTCTTAGCATTGATGGCCAGTCCATAGAGGCAAAATAATAATAATTTGCCCACAAAGTAGTTCCTCCTAATAAACAAACGTAAACTACCACTTTACTGATTTTGCTGTGTATTTTTGTGTTTTGTGTATTTTTCATCAATTTTGATAATTTTAGGTGGAATTTTTTTTAATGATTTTTACTGATTCATCCTCAGTTTTTTCCTTATTAAGGGGCAGCACCATTCAACGTCCTGCCCCGTGTTCATCCAAACACGTGGCCAGTGATCTGCACAGGCAGGTCCAATAGTTTTATTTGGGGCTTCCGATTTTCTGCCCTGTGGACTCATTCGGCTGGTTTTAACACGTTGATGCAACCTCTACCTAGATGAAACCTGCTGAGACCAACAGTGGAGATATTCTGTTTTCAAATCCAATTGGCGCAGACAGAGTGGACCAGAACAGAAAACTGAGAAGTGCAGTCAAAGACAAAGAACAAGAAATTACTGCAAGCATGGTAGGAACTTATTTAAACAATTCAGTCAATTGCGTGTGGGTGGGGGATGGGGAGTGGCTGTGGTGGGTCAATGGTTGAAGCAGTGTCCTTGTAACTGAGTGTTTGTGGGTTTGAACACATTGCACACAAAAAATATATAAAGACATTTGTAAAACTTTTCAGGAAATTAACATCCTTGCCACTAATATTTTTGCTCAGGCATTGCCACTGTGTCTTAGACTCAACTGACTGCTGAAATTTCGATAATAGGATCTGCAAATATCAATACTTTTTAATACCAAACACTCAATTCAGCTTTTAAGCTTTAATTACAAAATAAAAGCCCATCTCATGTACAGGTATATATTCATTTTTGTATTCATTCTTTTACAGCTGACTGCTTTTGTTGTGTAAACTTGTTCGAGCATACTGCTAATTCACTGCAGGTTGTCAATGGAAATGTAACAAGATATTGCTGTTAATCATCATTTAATAAAATCTATTGTTCTTTCCCTCAACATCTAACTCACGGTAATATAAATTAGCAAAAATGATATTCACATCGATGGTAGCATTCTTGACTTGAGGGAAAGCAGAGGACAATTTCTTCCATGGTACATAAATAAACAAGCTGTTGCTATAATATGTATTGTTTGGAGTAATGTTTTTATTGTCTGTACATTTTTTAAAATGGAAAATGAACAATATTTATTCAACCTGTCCATCCCAGCCTCCTCTCTACACAATTTGGCATCAGGTCAGTCTCAGTTTTGTCTACATGTTGTAATTTTAGGCTTTCTTTAAGTCAGAAAATTCATATTTTATTAAATCAGTCACTGGTTGAGTACACAGTACCGCCTACACCAGTGAACATGTTGCTTCAGTGTTTGAACACATGAGCTGCAGAAACACAACGTTGTTCTCACGTTGTCAGCCTGGTGGCTGAGCACAACAATCAGCTGATGTGAACACGTTTAAAGCAACAATTCAGATCTTCTAAAGTGTTGTTCTGTTAAAAGATAATGAACAATTTGTATCTCGCCTGTTGTAAATAGCTCCACAAATTACATCAGTTTCAAGAAATAGAGTTTCATTTTAATGAGCTAGGGCAGCACGGTGGCACAACTGGTAGAGCTGCTGCCTCTCAGCGAGCAGGTCCCTGGTTCAAA